AAAAAACTTTTTGGTCTCTCAATATGCTCTATCCAGAACTCAAAATGAAAAATTGATTTTTAGTTTAATTTCTCTAAAAAATTTACTTTAAGGAATCTTTGTTTATCTTATTATTAATTGGAAAAATTTATAATAATAATCGATAAATTAATAGATTTGCAAAATAATGGTTAGTTACAGGCCTACTGAAAAATCCAGTTAGCTAGAACGTTCCAGAGAGCATCACTGCTGCCCCCTTCTGTTTCAGAGGGGAACTGCTGGTTCTGGAGGTTGGAAAGTATGTTTCAATAGGAACAATAAATCAGCAGGTTGGGGAGGGGTCACTTAAGCTCCGCCCCTCCTGTCCAACTATCATGGAGGGGAGAAAGATTCTTACTGCCTCTGGGAGGTGAAGGATGGTGTGAGTGGTTTCAGGAAAAGCTGCCAGAGCTTTGTAGCCACAGCTGGACACCTCTGGATCCTGGAAGAGCAGAAGGACACAGTCAATAACTAAAGGGGGGAAATACAGCAGGCGCGTTTACAGGGTGTAATACGGCTGTTGAATATTTCACATCTAGGCTAAATTATTTCACTGTTGAAAAATAAAAGCTGTGAAACCCGTAACGTATGAGATGAACTAAAGGGTATAAACCATGAAACAAGAGGCACTGAGGACACAGACCTGGCTTCCAGCGTAGCTCCACAGAAAGCTGACCGCCTCATCTTTCACTTTCTAGGAGGGAAACAGACCAATCAATCTTTAAAGTAGAGCCAGAAGAAAAAACTCAAAAACGGGTCACAGTTTGCTGATGACTGAAGTGATAGAATAATGGGGAACATCTTTAGTTAACAACATTAAATCCATACCTGATCAATAAAATAAATACAAATCCAACTACAAATGTTTTTGGTCCACTCTATAAAGCCTTTAACATTTTGAATTGAAAAAGCTTCCTGGATGGGAAGCGAAACGTCTTCAAACTTGGAGAAAAAAAGTCCAGTGGATTGCTTTATTTTTAAAAACTTTTTTTTTGAATAACTAAAACAAATATTCCCTCCAAAGAACATCAGAGCTAAAGAATGAAAAACATCTCAGATTAAAATCAGAGCGGGTGATTGGTGGATTTTAAAGTAGTGATGAGGACACTAATGGTGCGTTCACACCTGCCGCCTTTTGAGCGTCAAAGAATCTTATTTACATGCAAAGTCTATGAGGGACGGCGTCAAAAGGTCCAGCAGAGCGTCTGAGCGCCAGGAGAGATGCATTCGGGTGTCCGATGCTTGAGTTCAGCTAATTGAACTTTTTCCGCTGGACATCAACCAATTAGGAAAGCTGATCCTGGAGGTTTTTTTTTTTTTGGAGGAGACAGAGATCACCTGCAAGCTTTTGAAGTGAGAAAATCCACCTGAAAACACGGGCAGTGCAGTCAGTTCATCCAGATTACATGAGGCGCTGCGGGACTTTTAGATACACCTTGACCTGAATGTGGCATTAGGCAATTATTATTTTTAAGTTTTAGGTTTTTG